GTTGTTGTTGTTGTTGTTGTTGTTGTTGTTGTTGTTGTTGTTGTTGAGAGTTTTTCTCAGGATGGTGAAGACACAGTTGTTGTTTTGCAGAGACTTGAGTTAAACTCAACTGAATTTCTGACAGAATCATGTGACATGTTTTGTTTAAAAGTTGTGCATTTCTTCAAAAAGTGCAGTTTCATTAAAAACAAAGTCATAGAAAATTATTTTTTTAGAAACAAAATCTCTGTTGTTGTTTTTAGGTTAGGTTGCTTTACAATAAAAATCATGCTAAATTTACAAAAGCTTTGTTTTTACTGTTCTGTGTGACTTCCTGGTCCCATGTGCAGCCCAGCCCACCTGTGGCCCGGAAGAACCCGCGTGCCTGGAGTTGCTGATCACCGTTGTTTGGGGGAGGCCCACACAGGAGAGACACACACCTCCTCCTCCTCCTCCTCCTCACAGTTGCTCAGACCTCAGAGAGGAAGGAAGGAATGGCGTCTCCTCGGAGTTTGCTCGCCTCTCTCTGCGGTTTGTTTCTGCTTTTATATTTTCCTGCTGGATCTCCGTCTGCAGGCGGCAGGAGGACGACCCAGGACCGCTGTGGGTTCAAGGTAAAACCCCAGAACTTTACCCTCCACTGCTCTTAGTTTTTACTGACGTTTGTCTGAAGCTGCAAGAAAAWGAAAGAAAGAAAAGAAAAACCTTCCAGAACAGAACAACTTGTTTCTGTTCCTCCTGTTGTCAATCAGAACATTTATCTGAAGAAAAACAGCTGATTGATGAAGTTCAGACCCAAAAGTTTCTGTTCACAGCTTCAAGACTCTTTACCTGAGATCCTGTCCTCACCCTCCTGACAGAAGCTCTGCAAATCATTTAATTTAAATTAAAAACACCTCAAAAGTTTTATAAATTGTGTATTTCTGTAAAGCAGAGGATTAAACGTTTAAAGTTTTAGTTTCTGTCAGAGGAAACAGTCATTTGTTGCACCAGGAGATAAAAAAATAGAATATTTATCAAAAACAAAACTGCAGCAGAATGAAAGGATCTCAATAAAAACACCAAACTAACAGATGATTGTATAAAGAAATATAATGAAACTTTAAAAGAATGAATCAAACTGTGCAAAATAATTATTTAGTGATTTTTGGACCATTAAAGACTCGTCTTGTTTGTTTTCTGATCCTCAGMCTGAAGGAGTTTGGAGAAGTTTTACACAAATCAACCTTTTTAACATCTTATTTAAGTTAATCATAGACAACGTTTCTCACCCAGATGATGATATTTAAAAAGATAAAAATGCAGTTTTTTAAATAAACATTTCTGATTTTTTTTTTACTTATTTTGCTGTTGTTTTACTCTTAAAAATAAACCCTGTAACAGGGAAATTAAAAACTTTCTCTCTTGTTGCCAGAACATGATGTCATACTGAGATAAAAAAAAGTTTTTCTTCTAAATCTGATGAGATAATCCTGCAGATTATTTCTGTTTCCTGACAAATTATTCGATTATTTATTTGACTTTAATTCTTCTGTTTTGGTTGTTCAGATCCTTATAATTTAGAGTTTCTGGTTGTTTCTGTCAAAGAGGACATGATCAGATGGATTAAATAGTCATCATTAATCTGCAGAATCAATAATCAGATTAAAATGTTTTAAAAGTGAGGGGAAATGATGGAAATTTGTTTGTTTGTTTGTTTACAAAGTTTAGTGTTTCTTTAGGGATTTTTGTCTGCAAGTCTTGGTTTTTTGTGTTGAAAGACAACTTCTGTGTATGCGTGTGTTTGTGCATTTGTGTGTGTGTGTGTGTGTAGGTGTGTGTGTGTAGGTGTGTGTGTGTAG